AAGTGGAACAGCCCCAGTGAGGGGATTGAGAAAACCCCACATCAGAATATCCCGTAGCCCAGTGGCTTGGACACTGTTCTGCAGTATAGAAGATCCAACTTCAAATCCCTTCTCCACATCAGGCAGAGGGAGGAAATAAATCTGGATTTCCTACATTTTAGTTGAGTGCCCCACCCATTGGGCTAACACTGATAAGTGAAGTGACAGTACCACCACCATCTCTCTGTCCATTTTGTGACTGTAGTCCTCCTTTTCAGTTCCAAACAAAATGTTTCATTTCAACATTGCCAGAACCTTTGGAGTTTTTTTTTTTTTTTGGTTGAGTGGAAACTACATGATGAACTTGATACAAATCCCTGAATAGTTTCGGTCAACCCAAATCTGCATTTTTCGGGGAATAAACTATTAGTCTGAAAAAATTCTCCGATCGCTATGGTGCCAACTTTTCCATATTGTAGTGGGATCCTCAAAGTTTTCTAGCTACTAGGCTAGGAATTATAGGACACCTCTATTGCTCAGTTCAGTAGAAGATGGTGGAAGATAACGATCTACACGCAGTCTACCCTGTTAAGTGGGAAACCATGACTAACATCATAAAACTGGTTACCAAACATCGACTGTCAACCTCCTGGTCCAAAGAGCAACAAAATAAGCCTACCTTTTCAGGGCCAATTTAAAAGGTAGATTGGACCTGGGGTAAAGATCTGCCAGTTGAACGTTGAAGGCCTCTCACTGTCCAAGTGTGACTACCTGGAGAAAATGCTGAAGACAACCAATATCAATGTCCTCACCCTCCAGGAGACACATGTTGCAAGAAAAAGCCCGTTGCTACAAAATCAATGGCTATCAATTCATAGCCAGCAATTATCGTACAAAATATGGGGTGACAATTTACATAAAACAGGAGATCAATGAATATGTGGCTCTACCTCCTACAGCGCACAAAGAAACAGCTACAATATCCTTGCGCATCGGCAAGCTAATCATCATTCATGTACACCTCTACCCCGATATAACGTGACCCGATATAACACGAATTCGGACGTAACGCGGTAAAGCAGCACTCCATGGGGGCGGGGCAGCGCACTCCGGCGGATCAAAGCAAGTTCGATATAACACGGTTTCACCTATAACGCGGTAAGATTTTTTGGTTCCCAAGGACAGCGTTATATCGGGGTAGAGGTGTATATAAACCATCTGGTGCATAGTGGCCTCAACCAACTCTGCAAAATGCACAGGACCCTGCTGTATTTGTGAACAACTGTAATAGTCACCACACATAATGGGCCTATGCAGCAAACAATATTGCAGGTGAAGAACTGATACACTGGGTGCTGGCAAATGATATGCTTCTCCTTTTTGATATGAAACCGTGCGTTACTTTCCACTCTGCAAGGTGGTGCAGAGGATACTGCCCTGATCTGATGTTCATCCCTAAAGATGATACAGGCACATCGATACCCCATTGCAGATCATCCTCGATGACTTCCCGAACAGCCAGAACAGACCAGTACTGACCCCAAATCCCAGTTCTCTGCTCAAAACCAGCACCGTGCTGGAACTTCATAAAAGCAGACTGGGCCACTTTCAGTATGACTGTGGACAGTACAATCGCCAACTTTTTCCCAATGTCAAAGACTTTGACTGTTTTATTGTGCTCCTCATCTCTGGTGTAAAGAAGAAGATCCCCCGGGAACACAGGTCATTGAACACTCCTTGGCTCTCTGCAGTCCAGCAAGAGCTCCTCTACAAATCTGATGAGTGTGGAGACCCAGAAATTGGAATCACTGGATGCAGCAAGACAGAAATGCTGGCTTCAATGTGTAGAAGGTCTAAACTTCACACACTCGAGCAGACGCAGCTGAAATCTGCTTGAGACACCTTGGGGCTGTAAATCCCACACAGGCCACTAGGCTGCAGGTGAAAGCCAACGCCATCGCTGCTAAACTTTTGTGGACATCAAAACAACCAGTGGACAAACAGTATCTCAAATAAGTCCAGCATCAGCCTTAGCAGGTGATGTCCAAATGCGCTCCATTGTCCCAATGGACATTGACGCAGTCATTGCAGCCACAAAATTGGGAAAAGCAGCAGGAAAAGATGGTATCTCTCCTGAGTTCCTATATAACCTTGGCCCACTCGCATGGAAATGGAGGATGCAGCATTCTGGAGACCGGTGAAACCCCCCCATATGGAGAGAAGTCAAGGTCATTGCACTCATAAAGCCTGGAGAACCTGAAGATCACTCTTCTAGTTATAGGCCAATCTTCCTTTTGAGCACCACCTGCAAGGTGATGCAGCGTATGGTGCTGAACCGATTCAGGCCCACTGTGGATGCCAGCCTACCCAAGGAGCAAGCTGATTTTCAGCCACACAGATTATGCTGCAACCAGTTCTGGCCCACACTACAAACATCGAGACTGGATTCCAATGAAAACTAAAGACCAGTACTGCTTTCATTGATCTGTCAGAGGCATATGACAGAGTCTGGAAGGGATGGTCTGCTACTGAAACTGGCCAAAGTGATTCCCCATGTACAGAATCTCAGGTTGCTGTACACCATGCTTTTGGCTGAAGGATGCATGTATACCTTGCAGGCTAAACCAACAAGCTGCTCACTTTGTATAATGGGCTAAAAAAGGCTCTGTACTTCCTCCAAGGTGTACACGAGTGATATGCTTGAAACAATCATGCAGAAGTTTGCGTATGCTGATGATTTGGCACTTGCAACTCAGGCCTGAAGCTTTAAAGAACCGTTACATCTGACCTTAAGATTGTGGAGTGCTTCCAAAAGTGGTGGTTAAGACCAAATCTGAGCAAATTGGTTGTCTCTATTTTCCACCTTAACAGTAGAATCGCACAAAACACTCTAACAGTTGAGTTTTCTGGTGAAACTGTTCATTATGGCCCAAAGCCAACATATCTTGGTGTCGTTCTTGACTGCACACTGACCTTTCATGGCCACCTCGAGAAAGTAACCTCTAAAGTAAAGACTTGCATCAACATTACTCAAGAATCAGCGGGAACAAGCTGCCCTGGTCCTACAAACATCAGCCTTTGCCCTGGTGTATTCAGTTTCAGAGTACTGTGCACCATGTAGACAAGAAGCTGCCATACCCAACTTGTGGATATCCAGCTGAATCAGACCATATGAATCATCATGGGAACTTTAAAATCAACACCTCTACCATGGCTTTCTGTATTATCAAACATCAGAGCTCCATTAAAATATAGCCACAGCATGAGAACTTAAATGCATTGAAGACTATCCAGAACTTCCCATCCGGCAGATTATGGATAATATACTCCAACAATGCCAGAAATTGCCAAAATCATTGTGGACCATACGTGACCACTTCATGTCTCTGGATCTGGCCAGGAAATGGCAAAGTGTCTGGACCTCATCTGTCATTCCAGACAAGCACCTTATTACTGAACCAACAAGCCGCCCTCCCTGTTTCGACCTGTCACATAGACTTTGGTCGACATTGAACTGCATCTGAACAAACCATGGAAGAGGCGACTACTTGATGCACAAGTGGAAAATCAGACTCCCCTTTGTGCGATGGTGGTGAGAACATCCAAACCATCAAACACATCATAACGCAGTATCCTAAATATGGATTCAAAGGTGAATTGGATGATATCCACAATGTCACAGAGGAGGCCTTGAAATGGCTTAGGGACCTACAACTGCATCTGTAGAATGTTGTTCTGCAGATGCCATACACACACACGCACAAGAGAGAGCTCAGTAGAGTGTCATCTGGAGTGGGAGCGTTCTCCTGCTGCACCAAAGGGGTGGTTGTTCATTTCCCCATGAGGACACATGAGGATTGGGGAAGAAGCATTACTTATCTGACAGATGGGATGGAGCAGGAGCAACTCAGTACCATGATGACCTGAAGGGTTATCTGTAGGAAATAATGTGGGGTCTGAGTTGAGGGGACTGTAGTTGGTAGTAGGGAAAGGCTTGGGAGGGAAGGTATTGAGTGAATCTGAACCACCATGTAGAACCTGAACCTCCAAGTGGCCCTGCAGAGATTGGTTTAGTGCCAGCCCCCTGTGAACAGAACCTGCAGATTGTCTTGAGTTACATATGTGAACTTAGCCTTGCAGTTTTTCAATAAATCCACTTGCTAACTCATAGGGGAAAAATAAGGATTAATAATGGGCTGATATTTGTACAGGGTTTTGTAAGCGGTTTCAGGTATTGGGAAGGACTATACTCAGAAATATGGAAACACTACAATAAAAGAAAGAAAAAAGGCCATTCATGCACAGTTTCCAACCTAATCAATACAAGGAAGTACTGAATTTTTCAAGAACCCTTTACCTGAATCATTTTCAGCCCTGTTACTAGACAGAAGTTTGGCTGCTTAATTCAAATATTACCTCAAAACCCTCTGAGATTCTCTTATTACTAATGTGTGTGTTTATAATTTTTTCAATCAGAAAGAATTTTTACATTTATCTGAAAGTCTTCATTTTCAGAGCTGATTTTATTGTTTCCAGCAACACACACACACCACTCCCGGCAGAATATAATTTTTATGTTCATTATTAAAATATCAGGGGTGTGTGTGTGTGTGTGTGTATGTATATACACATATAAATATACAATTGTCCTGACGATGAAATCTATTAGTGAGATAATCTCCCAATGGAAACCACTGGAGATTATAATAGAAGGACCAATACTGCATTGGCAGGGGATTCAATAGTGGTTCTATAAATATGTGTGGGGAGGGAGGTATTGATTAGATAGTAGGAAAGCCAGAGTCTGCTTATTTTCATCTCTTTCCTTTTATGGCCTCCGAGAAATGCTGAGTGATAAATAAGAAATGTTAAGAATGGATAAATAAATGCTAAGAAATGTAAAGTAAAATCTAAATAGATGTGAGAGCATTAATAAAAATCATACGAATTAGACTCCATGGAGAACATGGAGAGACAAAATATATGCACTGGTAATGTGATATCTTCTGCTTCTGTTCTAGATATTTGAGTGGTGGTATTTTCGCAAGTATGGGACATCATTCATTGAGCAGGTCTCTGTGAGCCACTTGCGCCCTCTGCTGGGTGGGGTGGACAATAACTCCCCCAACAACTCTAACACAAGCAATGGGGACTCTGATTCAAACCGACAGAGTGTTTCAGGTAAGAAAATTCCTGTCTGCTGCAAACAATTAACTGTGAACTTCATTCTTTTTCTCTCCTGTTTAACTGAAAGAAGTTGGTGGCTTTTTACTATGCTTCCACTGCAGAAGAATGATAAAATATCCCCTTTGCTCACACTGAACATAGTTCTTGCTAGACATTCATTCAAAATCTTCACTTTAAATTTTAATTGGTCTGCCCTCATTGTGTTCAGAAATTAAGTCATAGATCACTCGTAAAAATGATGGCGTTTACTGTTTATTAATGCTGTAAGCCTGCGCCCAGGAAAGCAGAGTGAAAACCAGCTGTATATACCGACGTCTGTTTTATTTGTTTGGTGTGGTTTGGTATTTAAATTGGATTAAAATTTGGGTGAAATAATGTGAAAACAACTGCAGTTCACTTTGTATGGTGAAAAGCCGACCCCTGAGTTTTTAAAATTCAAATGTCTTGAAGTCAGTTCATAGGGAGTAAAGCAGAGTTGATTGTTTATCTAACAAGGATACTTATCCAAGGAGAATGAAATATCTGTGATTATTAGTGAATGAAATATTAGTGATTAAGGTCCTGATACTGCAAAGAATTACTCACATGTGTAGAGTTAGGTATGTACTTAAGTCTTTGCAGGATCAGGGCCTAAGAAGATGATGCCTGAAAGTCAAATTGTGTCCATGTCTAAATAGCACCACAGGGGAACTAGAGGAAGTAAGACATTCCTTGTACCCCAGAAATACACACACACACACACACCTTTCCTATATCTCCACTGAAGGCATGGAGGGGTAAGCCAGGTCTTTATACCTATCCTGAAATGTTGGCTTCATTGAAGTCAATACTCCCATTGACATCAATAGAGCCAGGATTTCACGTTCAGTGGGTGCAGATGGCTGGAGAACAGGTGAATGGAACAGGGGGTAACAATCTCCTGCTAGTGTGGACCAGCGGCAGAACGGAGCAGAATTGTACCTTCCTGAGGTACTGCAGAAGTGGTGCAGCTATGTGCCACTCTTACATAGGACACGTTGTAAAACACAATCTTACCCTCAACCATGACCATGTAAGGCTAACTGTAAAATTGTCTTATTTTCCAATAAGAGAAATTGACTAATTGCTCAGAGGTAATTATGTCTTCCTAAATGCTGATTGCTCGGATTGTATTAGCATAAACCAAAGACAGACATTTCCCCTATATTTCCGAAGTTTCTTAGAAATGACACACATTCTTTTTACATTATTGTTGCAAAAGGCAAAGCAATTCTTTTTTCTTTTACAGAAATGCTTGGTTTAATGAGTCCATTATCAAGAAAATCACAGAAAGATCTCAAGAATACTCATCTGCTTTTGCGTTATATTATTTTTAACTTAATGTGAATAGTTCATAAGCACTGTTTGCTTTTCATTTTAGTAAGAAGTGGCTCACTGTGGTTTGCAATAGCTTAGAGGCTGGTTCTGTTCCTGGCTCTGGCACAGATTTGCTGTGTGACTTTGGGCAAGTCATATTCAGTTAGATTTTTGAAAGAGGCATCTGTTTTTTGATGCCTACTGTGAGACACCTCGGGCTTGGTTTTCTGAGATGCTAAGCACCTGCAACTCCCGTTAACTTCAATGGGAGCGCTGGGTGCTGCAAAGCAAATCCATGATGTCTCAGCACCCAAAAACGGAGGTCCTCAAATTCAGTGATTACTTCTGAAAATTTTGGCCTTAACTGTGTTGTGTCTCTCTAATAACAGCTGTATTATCTCTCTGTACCCCTGTCGTTTCTGAAGTGCTTTGAGATCCTTACATGAAAGGTCTAGATGTAAAAATTGTTATTTATTTATTTATAATATTCTGGACAAAGGGGCATTTATTTGCTCTGTACTCATATGAAGACAGCATTAGCACAGAAGAAATAAGCCCTGTAATGTAGTGATGAAAAGGAGGGTTGTGATGTGGTTATGGTATTGGACTTGAATTTACAAGATTGGGCTCCAATTCCTGGCTCTATCACAGACTTCTGGTGTGTGCAGATCACTTAAAGGCTAATTTTCAGAAGTGCTCAGCACCTGCAGCTACCATTGTCTCCAGTCGGAGTTGTGGGTACTCAGCACTTCTGAAAATCAGGGTCTTAATCTCTCTGTGCTTCATTTCCTCATCTGTAAAATGGGGATAATAGAACTTGCCTATTTCATGGGAGTGTTCTGAGGATAAATGCATTATTGCTTCCAGGGTGCTTGGATACTCAAGTGACAGGGGCCGTATAGGTATATAGACAGAATACCAGGGAGACCAATATATTCTCTTTCTTAGAGACTGTTGAGGAATCAGATCTTACAGAAATGACACTATGGTCTATGCTTCCCTTGATTCATCAAAATCCATGTCTCTGTTTCCCAGTTAATATTTTTGTGTAGATAAATGTGCGACTTTTAAGTGGGTGTTCACCCACGAAAGCTTATGCTCCAATACATCTGTTAGTCTTTAAGGTGCCACAGGACTCTTTGTTGCTTTTTACAGATCCAGACTAACACGGCTACCCCTCTGATACTTTTCAAGACGTGTAACTGCTTTTTGTTAAGAAAACTGCAGATCCCTTCACACATATGTAATTGTTTTGGCCCCATCTTGCTGTTCAACACATATGTGTTAGGCCTTGTCTACACTGGCGGCGGCGTGTAAGGTACAGGCACTACATATGTAGCCGCATACCACAGTGACAAGCAGGCTGAGTCCACACTGTGGTTTGTAGCTACGCGTCAGTGAAAGGCTCTAGCAGTGGGGAGACAGCGAGGAAAGGCTCCGGCAGCTCGGAGCCTTTCCCCACTGTCGCCCCCACTGCCAGAGTCCTTCACCGCTGCTGAAGCTTTTCCCTGTAGCGGGGAAAGGGTCAGGCATCAGGGAAGCAGCAGGACATTATGCTGCTAAAAGCAGCAGTGTAGATGCGGGAGGCACTGCTTGGGCACGTGGAGAACCATGCAGGGTAAGTTTCTGGCATCTCTGTACTCCACTCACCTAAGCCACGTCTCACCATCTCCACTGCTCTTTATACCCATGCTAGGGGGCATGCAATGTATGTACTCTACGCACTGCTGTAAGGAATGTGCAGTGTAGACATGCACTTAATATTAGAAACTCATTTAGCTTTCATTAGGGTTGTGTCTCTAGAATCAGTTCAGATTTCATTAAATTTATCTCCTCTTCAGTATGTCAGAATTAAAGAACCAAGGAAAAGTCTGTGAAAATGAAAAAATTAAATACATGAGAAAGGGTATTTGTTTAGATCTGCTACATTTATGTCAGTAATCTCCATCATGTTTCATGTTAAATATCAGTAGAGTGTATTTCACTCCTGCTCATCTAGGTTTATCAGAAATTCAACGGCGTTCACAAGTTAAATACGTTTGGTAGCCTCAGCAATCTTGGTCTCCACTGGACATTTTCTACATTATGTAACCTGCACACAGCTTAGCAAAATTCAGCAGTTGACATTCCCATCTCAGGAGAGTTAAAAGACTTATGCAGCAGCAGTGTTGTACTGTGGACCAGGGTTGTACTGTATTGACAGAGAGCATGGGAAAGTGCAGCACATGCTGGTATGTGTCAATGCTTTTAACCACATTTCAGCAAGTCCAAAATGTACTCCAAATTTTAAAACAGACACTCTCAAACCTCTTGCCAAGATTTTCTGCTGTAAGGAACTAGCTGAAAGAGCTCTTGCATTTCAATTTATATGCTCTGTCATAGAAGTGCTGTGTGACAATCACTTGGTCTCTCTGTGCCCCCTACCTGCTGAATGGGGATGATGGCCCTGCCCTGCTCACAGGGGATATCGTGAAGATAAATACATGCAAGACCGTGAGGTGCTCAGATAGTGTGGTGATGGGGTCAGATAATTATGTAAGATAGAGTATTCCATCAGAACCACTTCCATCTTTAAGTCCTCTTTCAGGAATTCGATAATATCTATGAGCCTGGGTGCTGCACTTTAGGAAGGACATGGATAAATTGGAGAAAGTCCAGAGGAGAGAAACAAAAATGATAAAAAAAAGTTTAGAAAATCTGACCTATGAGGAAAGGTTAAAAAAAACTGGGGCTATCTAGTCTTGGGAAAAGAAGACTGGGGGGACCTAATAACAGGCTTCGAATATGTTAAGGGCTGTTATCAAGAGGATGGTGATCAATTGTTCTCCATGTCCACTGAAAGTAGGCATAATCTGCAGCAAGGGAGATTTCGGTCAGATATTAGGAAAAACTTTCTAACTATAAGGGCAGGTAAGCCCTGGAATGAGCTTTCAAGAGATGTGAAATCCCCATCACTGGAGGTTTATTAAGAACAGGTTGGACAAATACCTGTCAGGACTGCTCTAGTTTATTTGGTTCTGCCTCATCTTAGGGGTCTGGACTTGATGACTTCTCAAGATCCCTTCTATCCTATATTTCTATTACTGTACGTCAGATCCTGTGAATTCCTTAATAATGCCATCATATAATTCCTCTGGAACAACTACATGGTGTTTGTATCTTCCAAAAGAAATCAGTACTCTGAACTTCACTGTAGAACGAGTGCCTGAAAAGACAGAATACTCTTCAATAAGACCTATCTAGTTATTCAGTAATTGGGACACTACTGTGATCTATCAATATCCTATAATATGATGTAAGAAATGTGCTTTCCAGACTATTATAAATCAAAATAGGGATATTCCCTCTAATTTCTAAATCTAAATGACTGAAGATGTCTGTTCTATGTTTGATTCCCCTCTGTTTTCTTATGCTGGCATTTGTTTATTGGAGTGTAGGAAATATCCTTGTCATCAGAATACTAGGACTACAGCTGCTCTATTCAGACTCTGTTAAGAGCTGATGCAAAGATAGAAACAACAAAGGGAGCATCTTATATAACCAGCCAAACTAGTGCCCAGCTGCTCCCAGGATAGGGGAGACTGGAAAGGCAGTAAAACACCTTTTTTCCCCCATTTGCACCACCCCAACCAGGTGTTCTGACTTCTTATGCACCCAAGGATTTAAAATCCAATAACTTTAAAGTTAAGCAATCAAGCAAAAAGAATGACATCACTGTCATCAAGCCAGTGTAAACTGCCTTCTTTCCTATTTATTGCAATCAGAGTAACTGGACCATTTAATTATTCTTTAGGGACTGAGATGTCTGATTTTACCTTAATAAGTACTATGGTTTGAAAAATCATATTTTGTATTAATCACCAGAGACAAGCTTGGCAAACAACCACCCTCTCCAGCTATACTAGAGGATGGTTGGACACTGTTCAAACACCTCTGTTATTGCAGGCATATAGTCTTCTAACCTTAGCTGGCTGCTGTAGTGATTTAGACATGAACAGGGAAGCATTTATCTTCTTATAGTGTTGTCTTTATTGCAGTAAGTTGCAATGTTTTGCTATCAGAATGTAATATGGAGGTGAGAATTTTATTGCAGTGAAATCTTTCCTTTTTAACAACTGCCATTGCTTTTCCTATCCCTTTCTTTTTTTTCTAAAGAGACATTGTGAGCCTGCTTAGGCCCCAAATCGTACTTTCCTTAGAAGTGATGTAATCTAATGAAGAGACTGCTTTGGACATTAAGTACCTAAAATATAGTAGAAATCCTCCACTCCATCACCAATGGCCAAATTCAAGTTCAGATGCTTCTGCAGTGCGGAACCACAGCTGGAGACAATACAGCTCAGCAGGGCTGTGGAGAACCTACTCCTATCCTGAGGAAGGGAGGTGTTACATTTGGAGGGACTTCATCCAGGAGACCAAATAAGAACTCCATGCCAGTCATTCCCTCTTCCTGCCTAGGAGGGCCCAGTCCTCTGATTTGGCTAAACTCTGCTCAGCACAGAACCCAGAGGGATGAGAGTGTAATGGCAAATGTAGTCATGTAACACCTTTATGCTCCCCTTCTACCCTCCAATGCCAGGGCACACCAAAGGCCAGTATGGAGGAGCCTAGGGGTTAAGCCAAGATCTGTTCAAGGCTGCTCTAAGTTACACCTATCTGTTTTTAAACAGAAATATTTCATTAAATGTGAACCATATTTTATGAGTATTAGAACACCCACTAGAAATATAGAGGAACAATAATTAAATTAATCCCAGGCCAGTGGTCCAGAGAGATCCAACATTCTTATAGAAGTAACAATGCACTTCCCCTGATTGGCTTTCTGTCAATGATCTCAACTTCAATACTGCCTACTGCCTCTTCGGCAACAGTGTAATGAACCTAAGTACCATACTTGCCTGAAACAAGACTACTTGTGGCTAACAACTCATTGATAATGAAACAGGAAGAAAGTAAAAAGTGCTCTCCTGCAACCATGTTTTTCTCCACCAGTGTTTTTGCTCCCTCCAAACTCCTGCCTTTTGCCACATCACTATGTCTTACACATATGTTATCTAATTTAGGGGCTGACCCTGAGAGCTGTTGACATCTGCAACTCTATTTTTCAGCCTGCCAAAGGAATCACTGCAAATTTATGCAAGATGCTTTCTCTCCCTGCCATTCCAACACCACTTCTCAATCAGGCCTGGACATAGCAATGGAGAATATGAAAAAGAGCACTGCTTGACTCCCATTCTGTATTTCTATTTCTCATTGTTGTATGCAGTGTTGTTGTAGCCATGTCGCTCCCAGGATATTAGAGAGACAAGCTGGGTGAGGTAATATCTTTTATTGGACCAACTTTTGTTTTGTTTCTCTCACCAACAGAAGTTGGTCCAGTAAAAAGTTATTACCTCACCCAGCTTGTCTCTCTGTTTCTCATTGTGACAGACTAGGGTATTTATTATGTTTCAGGATCAGGCCTATATATTATAAGATGCATAGATTAGATACCTTGTCAATTTATTATCATAGTGTAGACTTTTGCTGCAGTGAGGTCCTGGTGAGTTAACATGGTGCCATTGACATTTCATAGTAGAAAATTTTCAGGTTGACATTTGGTTGTGATGAAAAGTAGCCTGATAAAATGTCAGTGACGCAATATTGCTGGCAAAACAAGGCATGACAAGTTCTTGCAGTGACTTGTGTGATGTATATTACAATAAACGGTCTGCAGCAAAATTATGTGCTACCACACAGTGCATCTCTGAATCTTTTGGTTGCAAATATTGGGTCTGATTCTGGTCTCACTTTCGTTGGTGTAAATCAGGAGTGATTCTGTTGAAATCAGCGGAGTTCCACTGGTATAGAACTTGTGCAAGTGAAACCAGAATCAGGCTTTTGTATTTGGAAAGCTGTAGGAATTAATGCTATTAATCTTGTAAACTCTGTTCTAAATGGTATTGTTGTTGGGGATTTTCTTGAGTCTCCCTGCCTGTGAGATGGATTTGGATATGAACGTGGGGAACTTGTAATCTTATTTTATTTTTGTATAAGAGGAGCAAAACATATGAAACTCTTTTAGTGTTCCCAAGCCTTTGCCGTGAACTTTCCTCTGCCAATCAATCTTAGCATCTCTTGTCAATCGTGGGATGGTTATAACTCAAGCAAGGTCAGCAGCTGGTGCCACAGGTTTTTTTATTTCAAATGCTGAGGAGGAATTAAAGCAGCCAATTGTAGCTGAGATTCTCACTGATTTATAACAGTAACTAGACAATGAAGTTTGCCTCTAGAAATAACAAGTCCATAGGGACATGATTAATTACAGGATTTTTCAACACAATAATCCCAGATATGATCCTCCCCCGCTGCCCCACACTCATTATGGTAAATGTGAAACCTGGCAGTAATCAAAACAATCATTTTAATCTTCCATTTGGAACTTTGTTAGGGGTTATTTTCTTGAATGATATAATTTGTTAACCCTAAATTATAAGGAAATCATTGTTTGAAAGGGATAGAGTGAGAAGGTACATTTACCTGTATCTTCATGCCTTTAATTTGCTATTTGGTTGTATGGGAAATAAAAGCAGACCACAACAACTTGTTAGAGGATAATTGATGTTTCTGATGAATGTCAATATTAAGGTTGTAATTTTGGGGAGTTTCATTAATGTATATTTCTGTTTCTCCTTGTGACAGAATGCAAAGTGTGGCGAAATCCATTAAACCTATTCAGAGGAGCTGAGTATAACCGGTAAGTGTCACAGGAGTCTGTTGTGCAGTAGCATAGCTCTGAGAAGCGCACAGAGAACATTCTAAATACCAAGCAAAATACCTTTTGGACAGCATTCAGCTATGCCTCAAGTTTTCAACCTGTGTTCTCTACTTGATAAATGTTTTTGAATGGGAAGGAATTTAGCTCCATTTTCAAGAGCCCAGTAATTCTGCAGTTTCTTATATTGTTAGAACACCTACAAATCTAAATGTTTTAAAAGGGTCTGGTATTTGTTAACAATACAGTGGCAGTTCCGTTCAAATTGATTGTAACAAAGTAATTGAGTGGGTTGTAGTTAGCTTCTATGGGGCGTAACTTTTGAATACGTGTATTTTTCAAGGTACTGATTAGCCTATGTGTAACTACTGTAGCTCCTTCAAAGGCAAGAAAATGCACTGTAGAGAACAATTATACACTGGTAGGGAGGTGGACTGGATAAACTAATAGGTCATGTCCATCTCTCATTTCTAGGATTCCCCTTTGGTATAGATTTGCTGTATGTGTGTCGTCTTATCTAACCAAAATGTCTGACTTTGTTGGTGCCTTTACAGATATACGTGGGTGACAGGAAGAGAACCTTTGACCTATTATGATATGAATCTTTCAGCGCAGGATCATCAAACGTTTTTTACATGTGACACAGATCATTTACGGCCTGCAGATGCCAGTAAGAAAATGAGCTCTTTCTGAGTGTTTAATGGTAGTTTTAGACTGGGGTTAGCAGAAATTTGTCTCAGGGATCAACTTTCTTCAAACAGACTAGCAAAGGCAAGGGCTTGATCATATTTCAGTGATGCTCCTCTGGGTAAAAAATTGGGAATTTGTGGAGTCAGATTATTAATGTGTAGATTTCAAACAAACAATCATTTAGTTATGTGCCATTTATTGCTTGAGAGACACTTCACTATATTTTGTACTTCCTGTCACTAAAGCCATTCACGTTTACAAAGACTCAAGTTTCCCTCCTACTTCCAGCAATGGTTTCTGACATATACAAAGGTAAAACAAGTTGTTATACCATCTGGTGCAATACCGATTTATATACTCTAGGTCAAATTCAGCCCTCATTTACACAGGAGCTACACCCATGTAAGTGAAGTAGAACTCAGCCCTATGTTTTACTGGCCCACTGAAACTGGAAGCTGTAGGGAGCAATGGAAACTGGAAATGATAAACTGCTTTGATTCAAGAGATTCTAATTGTGTTAAATATTTATTGAATAATGCATTAGATAATGTACTTTGCAATGCAAAACAATGACTTACAGATCCTGAGCCCCTGCCCCATGGTCTCTCCGCCTCATGCTCAGTCCCAAGCTCTTACGCTGAGAGGAGTCAGGCTGAAGAGCACCATCTCCATCAGGGGCCAGGCAGTTCTGGGACTCCCAGAATCCATCCTCCTTCTGCATCTCCATTTCCCCAGGAAGCACCAAAAGCCCAGATCCAATCCTCCCACCCTCTTGTGGATTGGGGGCTCCCAGTGCCCCTCGGCACCGGAAGGACTGCCAAGGGGTGTGTGTGCGAGAGAGAGAGAAATGGCCAAGCAGGTGCATGGGGTGGCATTCAAATTTGACCCGGCCACCCCTCTGTCATGAGGGATTGCTTGCTGGGCCTAATTTACAGTTCTGGTCGGGAGGGGGAGGGCTGGACCCCCCTGAAACTCCCCTTGTTGCACCCGTCCTGGGAGGAAGAGGGTCCCTATGCTTTCTCCCTCCCCTTTAGTGCAACAGTGCAGCTCTATGCGTGATCTAGCCCTAGTCCAGATTTAGCTGTAAACAAAGGTTTAATTAAATGAAAGATTAACTGTAGGGATTGAGGAGAGCAACTGAAATTGATTATGTGTCTTTTGAGTGACTGGCTGAACCTCCTGGTTTGTGAAATGCTCAGCAGTGAGTCAGACTGAAAGCAATTAATCGAGTTGTTGTTGTGCAGTCAATTCTCCCTGTTAATGCTGCAGTGACTGACATGCCACCGTTTTGCTTTGTTTTAATGAATAGTAATGCAAAAAGCCTGGAGAGAGAGAAACCCGCAAGCCAGAATTTCTGCAGCACACGAAGCCTTGGAGTTGAACGAGTAAGTGACAGTAACATTAGGATTATTTCCTGTCATTTAAAAATCTACTGGATAATAGCTTAGGGCACTGATTTTTGCCAAAAAGATTTTTATTCTTAATTACAGGCCTGTTGCAGAAAGACCAAGACACTGTGAGGAAAGCCAAAGCTGTATGTTGCAATAGCTCTGCATTTATAAAAGTGGACCTTATAGTATAGGTGCTGGGGAAAAGCTGCAGGGGATAAGTTCCAGGAACCCATAATGGATTTCCTGATATCTGATCATTTCCTCCTTATCTGTTTGTGTGGCACAGCATAGCACCTTTGGCACTTGCTGATGCAGCAGTCATAGGCCCAATGCAAAGGCCAATGAGATGTCAATGAGCATGTTGAAGTATTAAACATGTTGCCTCATGATGAATGATGAGTGTATTTGGCAGAGGAGAGGTGGCACCAGATAGTTCCCTATTGGAGTTGGGGATAGGGTAACCAGGTGTCCAGTTTTCGACTGGAACACCCAGTAGAAAAGGAACCCTGGTGGCTCCGGTCAGCACAGCCGACCAGGCCGTTAAAAGTCCGGTTGGTGGTGCTGCGGAGCTAAGGCAGGCTCGTCCCTACCTGTCCTGGCTGGCACCGTGCTGCGCCCCGGAAGCAGGCAGCAGGTCTGGCTCCTAGGTGGAGGGGCAATGGGGCTCCGCGCACTCACCTCCCTCCCCACTGGCACCGGCTCCACACTGGGGAGCTGAGGTGGTGGTGCCCGCGGGCAAGAATAGCGTGTGGAGCCTCCTGGCCCCCGCACTTAGGAGCCGGACCTGCTGCTGGCTGCTTCTGGGGCATGCGCAGCGCAGTACTAGGACAGGCAGGGAGCCACCTGAGGTAATCCCACGCCCCAACCCCGAACCCACTGCCCCAGCCCTGAGCCCTGGCTCCCCAAACCCGGAGCACTCTCCTGCACCCCAAACCCCTTATCCCCGGCCCCAGCCCAGAGCCCGCACCTCCCCTGCACCCCAACCCTCTTCCCCAGCTCAGAGCTCCTTCCCACACTCCAAATCCCACATCTGAGACCCACCTCCCAGCCTGGAGGCCCCTCCTGCACCCCAAACCCCTCATCCCTGGCTGCACCCCAGAGCCAGCACCCCAGCCCAGAGCCCTCATCCCCTCCCACACCCCAACCCCCTTCCTCAACCCGCAGCCCCCTCCCATATTCCAAATCCCTCATTTCTGGCCCCATCCTGGAGCCTGCACCCCCAGTTAGAGCCCTCACCCCAACCCCCTGCCCCAGCCCAGTGAAAGTGAGTGAGGGTGATGGAGAACGAGCCACTGAGGGAGGGGGAATGTAGTGAGCGGGAGGCATGGCCTCGGGAAGGGGAAGGGCAGGGGCGGGGCCTCAGGGAAAGGGAGGGGCTAGGGTGTTCGGTTTTGTGCGACTAGAAAGTTGGCAACCCTAGTTGGGGATGGAGGCAAGAGCAAAAGAGCTAATATTTATTTATTTATTTTATTTGATATCATGTAAAAAACATGCAAGTCTATGGGATTTTTATTGTCCATGAGTCCACTATTAATTTTTTTTAATGAAAAATCATGGATTTCTATGATCCCACAATAAGTTCATTTCAATGAGGCTTTCTTGGCATGACAAGCTATACAAGTGCTATAAAAGTGTATAAAAAGAGAATGACTCCACTCAGGTATCTGCTAGAAGTAGGTTTACATTCCAGACTAAGGTAAACTGACTGCCTTAATAATAGTTGCCCAACTTTCTTTATCAGTAAGGAGAAAAGGAATAGTTAATTCCTGGACAGGAATTTTCTTGTGCACCAGGACAAAGCTTAGAAAAGTTTGCATGAGTAGTAAAATATAGGCCTAACCTGGTCTATTCAAAGGAACCTCATGTACAAGAGAACCTATTATTTTCCACCCATCTATTGATGGTCCTGTGAACCAGAGCTGGAGATTGATTTTATTTTGCATAATGGCTCTTTTCTGCCTGTGTTGGGCATGTCTTGCGTCTGACTGACACACTATGCTCTGCAGTTCATCTTTCACTATACTTCTAGTGTTTGATCCCTTGTTTTCTCTTTGGTTATTTTTCTCTGATTTTCCTAATTACATTAAACAGTGAACAAATGTAAAATATTATCATATGATTGGGTGAACATGGCTTTATATTGTAATTATCTTTGTATTTTTTCTTATTTTATTGTAATTGGTTCAGTTCTTTGTTTCTTTTCATACAGCAAAAACATTTAATTTTAAAAAGATCAAAGATGTCCCATATAATATGCTGACAATAATAATACTTAGAACTAAAGATCTCATGTGAGTTGATGATGATGATGTTAGGACCAGATCTGACCACCCTTATTTACATAAAGCAGTACTTTTACTTCACGAGCAACTTCATTAGTTTCATTGGGACTACTCCAGTAGTAAAATATTCTTCTGCATAAGTAAGAATGTAGAATCTGGCCACGAATATAGTTACTGTACAAAGATTTGTCAAAAAGGAGCCTGAACAAAACAGAATTTCTTGTATATTTGATATATCCTTGCCAGTCCGCATGCGTTTGTGTTTGATAGCTACGGATTGACTTCGCCGTCTCATGAATTATTGCTTTTTGTCATTGATCTCATTGACAGGTGTGCCACTGCTTATATTCTCTTGGCTGAAGAGGAAGCAACGACTATTGTGGAGGCAGAGAAGCTGTTTAAGCAGGCTCTGAAAGCAGGAGAGGGCTGCTACAGGCGTAGCCAGCAGTTACAGCACCATGGAGCCCAGTATGAAGCCCAACACAGTAAGTCTCTTTGGAATTTCTTTAATAATTCTAGAGAGTAAGAGGAGAATTTCTTCAGCCTGCTAGGAATCTTTTTATTCAGGCCTGACTTTCTCCTTTCCCTTGCGCATAGTTTAGTCATTTTTACCTATGTGAAGTGAGAGTAAAATGACATTGTTTGTGAGTACTCAAAGTACACAGCATTGGAGAATTGGGAACATCTTTAACAATGATTGGAATTTGGTCTGAGTCTTTATATTCTCTTTCGGTTCTTTTTGCCTGGTTTTCTCATAATCTCAGCAATGATACGAGTGAAAATATAAGTCATCATTCAGGCTGCGATTCTGTCACTGAGGTCGTGGAAGTTACGGATTCTGTGACTTTCCACAACCTCCGTGACTTCCGCAGCTGCAGCGGCCAGTGCAGCTGGCCGCGGGGCACCCAAGGAGCTGGCCACAGGGTCAGCCGTAGCAGCCGGTGCGACTGGCCTTGGGGCTGCTCCAACAGCAGCAGGTGTGGCTGGCCCCGGGGTGTGGCCTAACAGCGGTCCTGGTGGCGGCCCCAGTCTGGGTGGTCCCTGGGACCAGCTGCCCAGGGCCACCCAAGCAGCAGCGGTCCTGAGGGTGGCCGGAGCAGCAGCCTCGGGGAGCCCCCGAGCATTGGTCCCGGGAGCAGCCCCAAGGAGTGCCTGTCCAGCAGCAGTCCCGGGGGCGGATGGAGCAGTGGCCCCGGGGAGCACCCAAGCATTGGTCCCAGGGGCGGCCACAGGGACCACCCAAGTAGCAGCGCCCCGGGGGTAGCCCTGGAGGCCATCACGAGAGCAGTCCCTGGAGGCCACGGAGCAGTGGGCCACCAGGGCCAGACAGCCATCACCGCTGGAGCAGGGGCCCCCCAGAGCAGCGTGGCCCAGGAGCAGAAATTTAGTAATCGGTATTTGTAGTAAAAGTCATGGACAGGTCACGGGCCGTGATATTTTGTTTATTGCCCATGACCTGTCCATGACTTTTACTAAAAATACTCATAACTAAATCTTAGCCTTAGTCATCATTTGTTGTTTGAATGTGTCCCAGTTACAGCTGGAAATGGGCAGCGCATATCAGAAAAACCAGACAGCCACTATAGCCCACATTTTCAAAAATGACTAGGGATTTTGGGTACCCAAATGTAAACACCTTAAAGAGACCTGATGCTGAGATAAGCAGGTCTGTTCAAGGCGACTCAAATGAGGCACCCAAAATCACTAGTCATTCTGAAAATTTAGGGCTATATTGTAGGTGGCTGCTAAGGGACAAACGAATAAACTTGTTGGTAGGGCTGGGAGATCTTGTCTAGATGGAATGAGTGCTCTGCAAGTTATATCCATTCCTCAGTCTTTCACCAGCTGTAAGAGCCAGTGCATAACAACTTAACTTTATATGGTATATAGGATAAGGCTATTGAGACCCATTCATTAAAGTGACATTGGCAAAGTTAGAATGGATAGATTAAGAGAGATCCCCATATGGGCTGAACAGAAACACAAAACAAAACAGAAAAATAAGTCAAACACTGGAGTAATAGGTAGAATTGATTAAAACTTTTAGATAATTTTTTGATAACTACTTTATTGACTAAGTTTGATAAAGCAGATGTAGTGGATATGACAGGTACATGATGTTTATTAGGTGCTTCATATACCTTATAGATATATATATATATATAGATATATATATATATATAGATATATAAAATGTCACTGCCAGCTAATGCACAAAAGATTGTGAAGCCACCAGATCTAAATTATTTTTGTCCTACTAAAGAAGTAAAGGAGAAAGCCAGCAAACAGCATAAATACAAGTATGGACATATATGTATGCATCCACGTTCCTCTGGAACGTGAATTCACAGTGTTAGGCAACTTCACTTAATTGGAAGATTGCCTATAGAACTCTCACACAGTGGAATTTTTGACAGACCTCTATGATCTTTGGTCCCAAAAGCACAAACAAGTCTATACCTGAAAACATGAAATTTTTTAAAGATGATGATATAATTTTATATCCTTATTGGATATATAATAGTATTTAGAATGATACATTCACAATGATTTCACATTTTTTGAGAAAATAGGTACTTATAGTACTTGACCTCTCCAAGCATCTTTCAGGCACCAGCAGATTTATGGTTCCCCATGTAATCTTGATTCTGCTCCTGTATGCATCTCTTCTGTGCTCTGAGTAAGGCAGAAGTTATGTGGAAAATATAATATTTGATCATGTAATTAAAGACTGTCATAATGCATGTGAACAAGGGACCCCAATCAAGACACTGTAAATCTGGCATTTCCTAACTTTCAAGTGCTTGCCTTTGCAACCTAAATAAAATGGGGTGGCAGTTTCTATGTAAGTGTCTATGTTATTTTAAAGGAAAAAATAAAAATGAATTCTATTAAATACAACTGTAACTGGAACAAAAGCGAGAGAGAGGCTATGACAATTATTAACAGTTTCCATTCAGCTTTTGCTGAGATATAATTTCATGGAACAAAAAAAAAAAAGACTCTTCTGTAGCCTGAGGGCATTCCCCCTGTGGAACATCAAAGGTCTACTGCAAATAGTGGCTTCTCAAAGAAAAAGTCACAAGGTCCTTTATCAGAGAAAGTGTTAAGCATACTAAATGTAAGGGTCCTTATTCATTCCCCCTATAATAGATACAAATATGACTAGAGCAACTCTCAGCTTCTAAAAATTGCAGTACGAAGAGATAAGCAATCAGTAATGTACGAGGAATCAAGGAGTTCATCTGGTTAAATAGCTCACTAATTTCCCTACATGTATTCCCCCCATTCCCCTGACAACAGATGAGTTTGGGTCTTCATAGACAGTATGGCCTTGTGATGAAGGGACAAGTCTGAGAGTCAGAATACCACTAGCTTCCTGTTTGACCTTGAACAAGTCACTTAATTTCTCTGGCTGTGTCTACACTAACAATTTTCTTAAGATTTCCATCTGTGCACTACCACATTTGGTAGCAGTGGTGTGAAAGCAAAGCATAGACAGTCCACCGCATGTTAGTCACTGTGTTATCTCACTGTACTCAGAGCAAGTCTAAATGGCACAGTGGTTCAAATGCTGGCAATCACCAGGGCTGTCTGTCTATACTAGCATTCTCACTATTGATACCACCAACAGAGTCGAACCAGCAATAGTGCAACTGTGGGACGTTTTAGAAAAATTGCTAGTGCAGACAAATCCAAAATGACTCACTTTTCCCCATCTTTAAATGTGTCGATGATACTTCACCTCACAGGAGTGTTGTGAGATTCAATTAATTATTGAGTGAGATACAGGTGAAGGCCTATGCACCACTTCATTCCTACTTAAAATCTACTTAATGACTGATGTCTAAACAGTGTGCTGACCCTTTGCACAAGGGTGAGTTTCACTGCTAAGTATTTATTTATTATTTTGTTGCCAAACCTTCATGACACTGTTGGGATGGGAAGGAGTGGACATGTTAGTCTTTCACAAGTGGGATCCATGATGTTCCTTATTAAACCCTAGCAAATGCCTACACTTATGTGCATGTGTACATACATTCGTGCACCCACCATATTTAATGTTCTAAACAGTAAAGCTCTGATTTTCAAAAGTGACTATTGATTCTGGGTGCCCAAGCTGACACACCATGATGGGGTCTGAATTTTAGAAAGTGCTGTGAACCCTTCCTTTAAAGGGCCTTTTAGATGTACTAGTCACTTTTGAAAATCTTGGCTTAAAGGGTTATCTTGATGTCATAATGAGAAAATACACTTGACCATTTCTTCAATCAGTATAACTCTTAAGGAGTCCCAGTTTGACAGATATACCCTATTAGTTACACCATATATAGATGTTGAAAACAGATGTAACTAATGAATCTTTTATTAAATATATAGGACTCAGTATAGAGATAAGGAATTACATAATATAAAATACAGCTGAAGAAATTCCTTCTTCTGCATTATTTATTTTCTCTTCTAAAGTCAGACCTTTCAACCTGTTGCTTAATCTATTTGAAAAGTATAATCACAGCTTTAAAATAATTTGTAGGTACTTGGAATGTTTTCAGCACACATCTTGTTCTTATTATTAAAGACTTGAAAATGTTAGAACTATTGTCTCAAAATCTTTAAAGGCTGCATGTTCTACATGAAGATAATCTCTAGCAGGTGTGTTATATTTTCTTTATATGGTAATTTTATAGATGATTAACTATATGCACATTTCCTGTTGGTCTAAAAGCATGTTAGAAGGACATATTGTAATTATAGTCAGAGAATGATTCTTGGTTCTCACAGAAAGAATAAGACAAGAATCTAATGACTTATCTTCGAGAGCCATTGCTGCAGCTAGTTACTTTTTGGTGCCTTCTTTGTTATCAGGGCATTTTCTCTTCCATAATATTGTCATATCTGGAATCTGTTAATGTCAAAAGCAATAGGGCAACAGTAATGTAAAACAGAAATTCAAAATGAACTGCCTTTCCTTATAATGAATGTATGGTGTTTAACCCATACAAAGCCTAATGCAGAAGGTGACATTCACTTTTATAGCCACCCTGCAGCAACCTATTATCTTTATCAAGTATTGACTGCTATACTAGTTGATAAATAGGCAAGTAGAGTAATTTGTTGCTAACTGTAACACTGCATTTGTTTTATGTATTAATTGACTAGCCTTCCCCTTCTTTGATTGTTATATGCTGTAGTGTTCTCATGTTTAGAAGACTTCTATAACTTGAGGGCTGACTGTACTCCATAGACATGGGACCAAATGATGGTCTTATTAATACCAATGTATATCTGGAGTAACTCTGTTGACTTCAGAGGAGTTATACCAGACCTAGGCCAGTGTAACCAACAACAGAATTTAGCCCCATGTTCTTCACTGCATTTGCTATAGTGTCCTTGTTGATCAAAAATGATAAAAATGCAGAGGGACAGCTACAGTTTATACTATGTGGGAATGTTAAATGGACCTTTGCTTTATCTATTCTTTTTTAATCTTTTTTTCTTTTTCCCTTCACCAGGACGAGATACTAATGTGTTAGTATACATTAAGCGGAGGCTGGCAATGTGTGCAAGAAAGCTGGGAAAGACCAGGGAAGCTGTAAAAATGATGAGAGATGTGAGTCTGGATTTGTATTTATAGCTACGATTTAGTCATGGAGGTCACGGCAGTCACGGATTCCATTACTTTACCGGACCTCCGTGACTTCTTCCGCTTCAGCTGTCAGCAGCTGAAGCTGGGGCTGGAGGTGGGACTGTGCATCCTTGCCCTGCTGCAACTGGGGCTGGATGGCTGCAGCCCCTGACCTGTGGCTTCGGGGGTGGGAGGAAGGGGCTGCAGTCGGTCTGTGCACCCCTTTCCTGCAGCTGCAGCCAGCTCAGGAGCGGGAACTGTGCGCCCCCTATGGCTGCACCCCCTGTTGCGCTCAAGCCCCGCAGTTTCCATGAATTTTTGTTTATTGCCCGTGACCTGTCCATGACTTTTACTAAAAATAACCCTGACAAAATCTTAGCCTTATTTATAGTTGCACGTAACTATGTCCTTTGAAATCAATAGCATAGAAATGACGTTCAGTTTGTTGCAGATTACACATATAGCTGTCAATAAGAATGCTGCTGATCGGTTTAGTGTCTAATTTGTTTATAAACTATGTTAAAAGAAGATTATTAAGGTTGCAAGGTAAAGTAAGGAAAATGCTAGGAAATGCCAGGATTCGGGTTGCTTGTACAATCTTAATTCAGTCCCCTTGTTTACATGCATTATGATGCAGACTTTAATTACATTATCACATACACTTCTACCCCGATATAACGCGACCCGATATAACACAAATTCAGATATAACGCGGAAAAGCAGTGTTCCGGGGGGGGTGGGGGGGCTGTGCACTCCAACGGATCAAAGCAAGTTCGATATAACGCGGTAAGATTTTTTGGCTCCCGAGGACAGCGTTATATCGGGGTAGAGGTGTACTATTTTTCCACAGGATCCCTGCCTCATTCAGTCCATAGAATGGATGATGTTGATTTAATGAGCTGTTCAATATATGAGCTTTATCCATATTGGTCAATGTGTGGCCCATGCCTTATTTACTTATTTACACCATTCAAACCCTGCTTTGAAAACAGAATTTTTATTTCCTCATGGTCTTTTCTCTAGCATTCATCACTACAGGATTTGAGTGCTTCACAAACCATTAATTTGGTTTCACAATACCTCTGTAAAGTAAGTGGTATTATTACCCCCATTTTACAGATGGGGAACTGAGGCACAGAGATATTATGATCAAAAGTATCCATAATGTTGGGTGCCTAATTTGAGAGATGTAGCTCCTGATTTTCCAGAGTACTTAGTATTATATAGCCCCTTATATGTCCTTAGCACTGCTCCCATTGACTTCATGTGCAGGTGTGAGTGCTCAGCACTTCTTCAAATCAGACCCCAGGATCTCAAGTCAGGTACCCAGAAAATGAGGAACACACAGTTACTGACAACCTGTGAAAAGTTTGGTTTAAGTGACGTGCCCAGCATCACATAGGAATTCTGTGGCAAAGGCAGGGATAGAATCTAGTTCTCCAGGGCAGAATTCAACTGCCTTAACCATGAGATCATTCTCTATCTTCTTGCAATCCCTTGCCTCATTCACTACACACCTTCCAACTTCTGCAAAAAATGGAAGCGGGCGTCCTACAGACAACAATCCCCTTCCCTACACAAGCTGATTCATCCCCAGAGCAGGTCCATGCTGTGCACTGAATGACACAGGGATCCTGTGGAAAATGTAATTAAATTGTGTATCATAAGGCATGTGAACAAGGGCGCTGAATTAAGATTGCATGGGCAATGAAAATTTCCTATGTTTAAAAAAAAAATTGAAAAATTGAAAAAAACAAACATTCCATCCTGTGGGTGGATCATCATCATCAGATATACAGCATAATCCTCTATCTCTTGAGCTAAAGGAGTGACCAGTAACAGTAGTAGGTTGTCATTCTTTATGTGAACCAGTTCCAAAGGGGGATGAGAAACTTTGCCAGAAGGTTTCACAGATAATTGCTAGATGGCAAAGGAATATTGAAACTCGGGAATGCAGGTTCCATAGGGAAGTGTGCTCAGCGGTTACAGACTCTTCTGTCCTTGTGTCCCCCAGCCTTTCCATATTCCCTTCTTCTCCTATTCCCCACCCCTTTCCCTAGCTCCTGCTATCCTCCTGGGTTCCTCCCTGCTCAGTGCTTAAAGATCACAATGGGTTGAAGGCCCAGGAAACAACACATAAAAAGGGAGGTGGGTCACTGAGGGTGCACATTTTAAATACCACCTGGGAGAAAACCCCCTTTGATTGGCTACTTTCCCTACTTGCCCACAGGAGAGCAGCAAATCAGAGATGCTGTAGGAAGCAGGCAGAGTTCTCTCCCTCTCCTCTCAGGAGAGGGCACCATTGTCACAGGATAGGAGGGCAGAGGAGGCAGCAGAAAGCCCAGCAGCTCAGCGTTGCTCTGCTCCCCCCTCCCCTTCTGTGCGCAGTGGGTTGGCACCTCTGTTCCTTTCCCCCTTGTCTCTCCTTGTTGGCAGCACCTGGCTGGGGAGAGCAGGGTGAAGAACCCCAGTAGTTTCAGGAGGCGCAGAGGTGAGGCTGCGATAGGGAAGGTGGGGGGCAGAATTGATGTGGGAGCAGCATTGATGGAGGGTTGTGGAGGGGCAGAACTGATGTGGGAGCAGAACTGATGTCTAGGTTGGAGGGGGGAGAACTGATGTGGGGACAGAATTGATGGTGGCTGTAGCAATATTGACTTGGTGGTTGAGGGACAGATTAATTGCTGAACAGGAGGACAGGTAGATGTTGGAGTGATGATAGACCCCACACACATTTTTTTTCAGGCCAGTTTAATTTCAGGCCATCCCTTGCTCCTTCCGTTCTTCACCCCTCTGCATTCAAATCAGGCTGTTTCCTCCTTCCCCTCCATGCTCCCTGGGTGCTAGCAGGAGGAGCATTGAGAGCAGGGGAGAGGGAGTTTTTCTGTGCTGTCACTTCCTGTGCCTGGTGTCACAGTCGCCTCAGGCTTCCAGGAAGAGCAATTGCAGGGAAATACAGCTCAGCCCATGCAGTCGAAGGATGGAGTGTTCTCAACTGGTCTTTGGAGATCGCACATGCGCAGTCCAGTCAACACACAGGAGCTCTGGGGGAATGGAGAGTGCTCAGTCAGGATGGAATCTTTGGACAATTAAGCTGCTCAGATCTAACAAGTCTCTGCTGAGCATCTGCAATTTTGTAGGATTGTAACTTAGCCAAATTTGGGAAGTTTTCATGGGGATGGCAAGAGGCACATCCCTGTTACCAAGACAACCTCTTGCCAAATTTCAAGTCTATACTCCAAAACAGGGAAGTAGTAGAGCTTCTCAGTGAAATGATTGTACGAATATTTTTGATATGGGCAAACCAATTTATTTATCCCTCATATCATTCTCAGACATGAAATGGCGAAACCGTTTTAGCTGCAACTTTCAAAAAACAAACTAAACAATTCAGCCTGACGTAGACACCCATCATGAAAATTTCAGCCCAAACATTAAAGTTTTGCAAAAGGGAATAGAATAGAAAGTGTTGAGTAACCTTAACTACCCTTGCTACTGTCATGGGGTTCAGGATGCAGTCCACACCAGGAAGGGGTTATGTCACCGTTTGTCTTGCAACTAGGATGATCAGATGTCCTGTTTTATAGGGACAGTCCTGATATTTGGGGCTTTGTCTTATATAGGCGCCTATTACCCACTCCCTGTCCTGATTTTTCACACTTACTGTCTGGTCACCTTACTTGCAAGTTTGGGTGCCTTACAGTGCTTTGCTGCTGTAGCTCCCATCCTGGGACGCTCACAGCCAGCCTACAAGCATGCTAATCACACTGAATGTCTCTCTGTTTGCTAGATGTAATTCTGAGCCCTGCAGCCTGTCTACAGCCCCACTCTGGCTTCCACCAGCCTTAGTTACTATTTGCAGGGTGACCCCAACACACTCCCAGTCCCGAATTTTCCTCAAACCGTGGGCCCTGAAGTGTCCAGCCTTCTCCTGGAATACTCAGAGAAATAAGATTTGTTTGCTCCTTTAAAAGACAAAAGCACATCAGAGCTTATTAATTTAACTAAAGCAGATACACCCTTCCCTTCAAACACAACAGTAAGTTGGTTTATAGTAAAAATAAAACAAATTTATTAACAATAGGTCATAGGTTAAGTGATGCCAAGTAAAAGAAATAAAAGAAGAGATGGTTACAAGTAAATAAAAGTGAAAACACGCATCTGAAAGTCTGAAACTTACTCTAGCAAGGTACAGGCTTTGTTCAATGTGGTATCTTTCATTAATCTTCCTTCTTCCCAGGCATATCTGACTTTCCCTCAGTCAGGACCTTCCACAGAAGTACAAGAGGCTGCGTGTTAAGGCATACATTTTATGACAATATTAATCACCAATTTGTCATGGGCTTTCATGAACACCTCACTTGATAACTTTTTATAGTACAGTAATATTGTAGGCAATCAGTTGATTCAATTGCTTATCACTAAGGCTGCAAATCTGTCATAGAGGTCACAGAAGTCATGGATTCTGTGATTTTCTATGACCTCCGTGACTTCTGCAGCAGCAGCAGTTTGGGTGTGTGGGAGGGGGCTCGGGGCTAAGAGCAGGGCATTTGGGAGTGCGGGGTGGAGCTTACATCGGGGTGGGGGGCTCCCCAGTTCCCACTGGCGTGGCCCTGCAGCTCCTAGCCAGAGGGGCCAGGGGGCTCCAGGCGCTGCCCGTGCCCGCAGGCCCCGCCCCCGCAGCTCCCGTTGGCTGCGGTTCCCGGTCAATGGGAGCTGCGCAGCCAGCGCTTGTGGCGGGAGCAGCGCGCGGAGCCCCCTGACCCCTCCGCCGCCTAGGAACTGCAGGGACAAGTGGAGCCAGGTAGGGAGCCTGCAAACCCCACCAACCTCCCCCCCACACACAGCACCAGCGGGGGTCCCGGGCCACCTCCCCCAGCACCCGCAGAGCCCCCGGACCACACTCCCCCCCCAGAGCACCTGCAGCTCCCCACCCAAGTTTTAGTTAGGGATATATAGTAAAAGTCATGGACAGGTCACGGGCTGTG